TACTTACAAGATTCTCCAATCCTTATACCTTTTGTTCCTGAACGAACCTTTATTATGTACCCGACTGTGCTCGATGAGTCCATGAGCTGTTTTTGATATTGATTTTAATGCTAAATTTATGATTAATTATTAGTGTAAATTTGGAATTAATTCTTGATTTGCGATTAATTCTTGGTTTATGAAGATGTGATCAGTACCTATGAACTTAGTGTTATTTCTTGATGCATATTTGTTAACGTTTTTGCCACGATCTTGATACATGTGTATGATGACTACTCTGGGTACTTAATGCTATTGGTTGCTTGCATACGTGACTTGCTATGCTCCCTTTAGGTTCATGATTCAATTTTAGCTCTAATAAATTGAATCAGATTAGGTCTTATGATTAACTTTCGTATGATAACATTAGACTAAATTTTTATTAAAGCTCAGTCTTAGGTCATAGAATTAGGTTAGTTTTCTTTTTGTTTAAAACTAATCTCTTTTCTCAAAAAATCCAAAAATACTTTAACTTACTTGTAACTTTTTTCAATACCTAAAAAACACCTCACCAATCCCAATCTTTTTGCCTTCGGGCTTTTCAGTTTAAACATTTTCAAAAAAGACATGCTTCCTAGCATCACCCATAAAAAAATTACACAACAAACCTAAACATTTTCAACATGAACTACAAAGTCTGATTTCCTCTGAGATACGTAGGCACTGGGTTGAAAATTCAGACGAGCTTAATAAAAAAAACTTTCATTTTCTCTCAAGTAATCATCCTTCATTCCCTTAGCAAGCAATAAGATATCCAACACCTTTCATGCCAGATAACTTAGACGATTCCCATCGAGTACGATGAATTTAGGAAGTGCTAGTACCTTCTCCTTACATAACCGACTTCCGAACCCAACATGGTTGCAATGACCATACCATATCTTTTTTCTCTACGGATTTTCTCAATATTTTCCCTTTCCATTTGTGGAATAAATAAAGTTTGGTGGCGACTCTCATAAGTCCATCCGTGATCATACAAACTCTAGTTTTTTTGAGGTACGAGAACTGGATGTATGCTTGGGCCTTGGAGAACTCGGTGCGAGGTCGCAGTCCACGCTCGATCAAAAATCTCTTCATGTCGTTCGAGGTGGACATTTGGACAACTTCTCGGTTGAACCTCTATGTAATCCCGGAGAGATTCGTCTCTTCCCTGGATGTTGGCTTCCAGGGATGCTTCCGTCTTCGGTTGATGCTGGGAATCAGTGAAGTTCCTGGAGAACTGCCTCTTCAGTTCTCCCTAGGAGGTGATGGACTCGGGCGCGAGGCGCTTGTACCATGTCATAACATCCTTCCTTAGGGTAGTGGGGAAGAGCCTACACTTGATGGCTCCTCGAACATTTCAATAGTCGAGCATTGCATCAATGCTTTCAATGTGGTCGTCTGGGTCGGTTGTACCATCATATGTCGCCAAGGGCGGGGGGTTTTCCATTCCGACGGGCAAGGGAGTCTCCCTGATGGTCTTGGACACGGTGTGCGTTGGTCACCCTCATCGCTCCGGATCGATGATTGAGATGGGGAAAGGTCACCCTGATTGTTTCTGCTCCGTTGGGGATGACTCCTTGGCCGAATCCTTGGCTTCTCGACGTATCTATCGGCTTTATTCCTCTTATGACTGGGGGAGCGTCGTTCCTTTTGGAGAGGTGATCGGTCGCGCTTCTGGATGGCCACATGCTAGGACCGTTCCAAGCGAGGACGACGCCCAGTTTTCCAAGGAGAAGGGCTCTGAGAGTCATCGTGTCGTGTCTTCCGCAGGGGAGGGCAGAGACTGCGAGAAACGGGGCGACGATGTCTCCGCGGGGGAGAGCGTGATTGTTGCTTCTTCTTGAGTATTTCTATTCGCTCATTCTGTTGGAAAATCATCAGATTTGTCTAGTTGATCGCCGCGAATAAAGCCCCATGGTTGGGTCAGTGCTAGGCGGCACCAGGATTGACTGGTAGACAGTCGGGCTACCAAAGCGTCGGGCGACATTGAAGGTCGCGTATTCCGACGAGGGAGAGGCGGTGTGCCTGTCCCTGGAGTCACCCTTTTCGACATGAACGGTCAAGGCGGTTTCCAGAGCGTTTGCGTGGGATGACCATGATCAAATGGAGGCTGTAAACTGCTTTGGTTCTTGAGCTTCTATGTTTCTATAGGAGAAAGAACAGGGGAGCAATGGTTCCTACAGACGGCGCCACTGATTTTACCGGATCAGAAAGGAATCCTTAGCCTGCCACGCGTCGTGAGCTCTTGTGTTCACCGGTGTTAGAGAAGAGGAGGGGGTGCACCTGCAAGGTACTCTGATGCTAAAGTGAGAGACGAAGTAAGAGATAGCAAGTACAGAAAGAAGTTGTAGAATTCAGAATACCTGACTCTCTAGTGAAAGAGGATATTTATAGTGTGCTCCCAGCGCTGGGCCAACGATTACATTGCATTGGGTTGGATTTCCAGGCCCAACACAAGTAACTGCCAGGGTCTACGTGGCATAGGGAAGACCAAGACGTGGTCTTCACCCTGGTCCAACTGCTCTGTGATCCTTAAAAGGTGGAAGATCGGTTCTTTAGAACACAGGTATACGCCTGATGACGTGTCCCCGCGTGGGGAACACGTGAAGAACGTGACGTGAGCTCTCTCTGTGCTAGGTAGTGGCCTGCTCGACGACAAAGCGTGTCCGATAGAGAGGAGGATTTGGTCTTGCTGGACCTCCCCAACGTGATATTAGGTTAAGTCTGTTCGACTGTGGGGCAGGTACTAGTCCAGTCCATAATAACTACTATAATTAGAATAATAAAATTATTTACTAACTTCATTCACAATTTTAATTAAAAACAACAAATCTTAATATCATAATATAAGAAAAGTTGAAACAAATAGAAGTAGAAAAATAAAAGGTAAAAAGATGGTTAAATCAGAGAGAAAATGATTATCATTCTATAACATCAACTAATCAACTATTCACCAAAGAAAAGTTTGAGGTTAAGTGCAAATTAATTGAGAAGTTTGTATAAATTGAGATTTGCCAACCATTAACAATAATATTTCCATTGCTTCTGAAGAAGAAGAAAAAGAGAATTCATCATGATATAAATGTGTTAGTGTTGAATTGAGATTTGTCAACCATTAACAATAATCCTTCCATTGCTTCTGCAGAAGGAAAAAAAACTCATCATGATATAAGAAAAACTTGAAACAAGAAGTAATAGAGAGAAGTTGAATGAAAATCCAAATCGTTTCTCAAATAAAAAAACGGTACAAATTGATTATGAGAATTTATTATCAATATAAAAAAGACAATATTTATTTTCTATTTGTTGCTTCCTCGCTTTATACCTAATGTAGTAGATTATGTTAATTAACAATTTATTTCTGTGTTTAATTAATTTCTTGGTTATCAATAAAATTTTTGGGCATAGTAAGAATTATTTGAAGAGGTGGATTTATAGGAAATTGGCAGAGTACTGTTGCTTTATTAGTAGCAAAAGGTTAATGGCTGCATGTGCCCCCTAAGGTTGGTAAACCAAGAGAGCCAAATCCTATGTGCCCCACATGTATTTTGGAGATTTTCCCGCTCCCATTCTACACAACTCAGCCACCCATTTCCTGCCACAAAAACAGCTTTATGCAACACACCGCTCTCTCTCACGTTCCAATTTAATTCAAACCTGTAAACCTCATGTTTGACTCAATGGCTTTTAATGCTCTCACACACCATTAATACACTTATTTACTCCACTTTTTTTTCTTACTTAAAATACATATAAAATAATATACAAGTTTTAGTTTCTTAGTTTCCTTTTATAAAACAAATTTTCTCATCAAATACAAAAGCACTTGAATACAATAATTAAGATATTTTTTAGTTTAACTAAAATTGTTGTGTTCAAATTTAGTCATGTTTAATCACTTAAGAAAACAACGGAGTGTTTTGTCGCGTTTAATCATTAAAAAAAGAGAAGAAGTGATTAGTTTTCATAGTTGAATGCTCATAATAAATATCATGAGTGTACGCAGTTGGATCGATTTTAAAATAAAAATTGATTAAATATAAAAATATTTTTTTTTCAATTTTTAGAAACATTGTGAGACTTTTTTTTAGTGTGTTTGGATTGATGGTGAACATAATTGATTCTATCACAATTGAGTTTGATAGAATTGATTTTAACAGAATTGAATTTAGTAAAATTGATTTATATAAAAGTGAATTAAACAATAAATTTCAGTGTAAAAATCACGCATAATTAATTCTGAAAGTAGAAGTTACAAATTCTAGTTTTAACCGGATTCAATTTTACTTTTGATAAAACAAACACCTTAAAATCACTCAGAATCAGTTCTACACCTCTAGAATTGATTCTGAGTCTTCTAAAAGTCAATCCAAACATATACTTAGAGGAACACTTTTATGAAAGATATATTATATATTAACCAAAAATTTTAAGATGATAGATTTCTTTCAATTATAAATATTTAAATCTTCATATTTTTGACTAATATAAAATTATTACATATACTATTCACACTTGTTATACTTAACATGAATTTGAATTGAGAAATATAGATGATGTAGAAAACAAATTTCTTATGAAATACATTTTTGAAAACATAGTTATTCTTTTTTATGTAGTTAACTTTCTTTATAAATAATTTTATTTAAAGTTAGTTAACTAATTGAAATTTGAAACTAACAACTTGCTAGGTCCAAACAGTTGAAAAGAGTTAGTTAAAATTATGAGTGTGGTCCCATGCTATGTTCCACAAACCCTTCAACCTCAATTTCTATAAATTAAGGGCACTCCCACCAACTCTCTTCACTCACTCATCAAACTAATTGCTCTCTCTCTCTATCTACCTTCCACCCCTCAAGGTTATTTCCACTTTCATGAATCATAAAGTTAACATCTTTAACTAAATTAATGTTCTTAAATGCTATATTACAAAGAAATGTCTCATTGTTTTGTTTTGTTACATGTTCAGGAAACAAGAAATGGCTTTCATTGGCTTGCTTTTGGTGTGTTCCCTCACTATGTTCTCATCTGTTCATGCCTATGCTGAAGGGTGGACTAATGCTCATGCTACCTTCTATGGAGGCAGTGATGCATCAGGAACAATGGGTATGCACCATTCTTCAATTTAAACCAGTCCTTGAAAAAAGTTTCCATTTTTATATTTGTCTGTGAAAAAAATCAGATCTTGAAGTAACATTGAGTAACCCTTTGATCTGATTTTGCTGTATAGGCGGGGCTTGTGGATATGGTAACCTTTACAGTCAAGGGTATGGAACCAACACTGCTGCTTTGAGCACAGCACTTTTCAACAACGGTTTAGGCTGTGGTTCTTGCTATGAAATTAAATGTGCAGGTGACCATAAATGGTGCCTTCCTGGTTCCATTGTGGTCACTGCTACCAACTTTTGTCCACCAAACAATGCCTTACCAAATAACGCAGGTGGTTGGTGTAACCCTCCTCTCCAACATTTTGATCTTGCTCAACCTGTTTTTCTTCATATTGCTCAATACAAAGCTGGAATCGTTCCTGTATCATACAGAAGGTAGATGAATTATTCATATATTGTCGACATTTTTCAACTTTTCTGTGTATTTTACTGTGGTGGTGTTTTTGTAGGGTATCCTGCAGGAGAAAGGGGGGTATAAGGTTCACCATCAATGGACATTCTTACTTCAACCTTGTTCTTATTACAAACGTTGGTGGTGCTGGTGATGTACATGCGGCTTTCATCAAAGGGTCAAAAACTGGTTGGATTTCTATGTCAAGGAACTGGGGACAGAACTGGCAGAGTAACAATTATCTTGATGGTCAAAGCTTGTCTTTTAAGGTTACTACAAGTGATGGTCGAACTGTTGTTTCCAATAATGTTGCTCCAGCTGGATGGTCTTTTGGTCAAACATACACTGGTGCTCAAATCAACTAGAGCAGGAACATGTTGGAGTCTGCAATTTAGGAATACTATACATGGAGTAGTTTAGTACCATTCAATAGTATACTAGGTTATTAGATAGTATGCTGTTTGGTAAGAGGGGGTTTGGTTTTGGGAGATTTAGAGGCTTATGAAGGGCATTTATTATCATGGCCCTTCATTTTAGGTCTATCATGGTTTGTGTGGTGTTTTGCTTTTTTTGCTTTTGAGAAGTTTTTTTTCTCCTACCATTCTGCTAAGAAATAGTAGAAGTTAGCAGAAGGGGATTATTAATGTTTTTTGAGTTAAGTACTAAATTGGAGGAGGTGGACTATGATACCACCCGCTATATTTAGTATTAGAGTGGTGTTTTTTAATATTGGAGTATGTTTTTATTTGTATTAGTGAGTGAAGGTGTAAAGTTCCTTATTAGTGATCAATGAAGTAATGTACTACTATTACTATTAAGTTTTGTTTGTGTCTTTGTCTACTTACCTTTTAAGTGCTATTTACTTTTATCATCACTTGATTTGTTAACTATTTTGAGAAAAATGTTTGGGAAGGTGGGCTTAGAGAATGATTCTCAAGGCTTAGGAAGTTGGGCTACACATGAAGTTGAAGCGTAATTTTGGGCACATATTTTGGATCTGGTAGTTTTTTGAGGATCAAATTATAGGCCTTGTAGGTTGAGTTGTTCTTTGGAAGTTTCAAGTCAACCATTTAAGACAATCTATGACAAGTGACAAGTAAGGTACAGTGAAAAGATTGATATATTTAAAGAGGGTATCACACTAATTATGTTCTTTGTTACAACGCAAGGAGATGGAGTACAGGGCCAAGAAAGGATTATCTTCTCTCTTTATTAGTTTGAACTCAAGTTAACTTCTGATCTAATTAAACAATATGCGTAAAATGCTGCAGAGAATATAAAATTTAAGTTTGTATTGTACTTAACACTCACAATGTGCAGCACTATGGACAGTTAAACTATTAAAAAAAAGGTATAGCTCAAACCCTTAATTTTTCTAAAATGTCACTCAAATACTGACAAATAAAATTTACGATTTTGTGTTTCAGGTGAATTTGAACTTTTGTACATGTAGTGCTGGATTTTGAAATTCAAACACGTTAGGATGTCAAATTTCGAACAGGACTAATTGTATATTGGATACGTTTTTAGGTGAATTTAAACTCTTGTAATATATGGTGTTTTCGGAAGTTGGGATTTTAAAATCTAGACAAAACTATTTATGCATTTGGTGCGTTTCGAGCAACTACAGCTTTCGTGAGCATGTATAAGAATGAGTATAAGCGAGCATGTATAAGAATGAGTATAAGCTAATTATTTATAACTGATTTTTCAAAGCAATGTTAATAAAGTAGTTGATGTGAGACTATGAAGTCTTTCTCCTAACTAATTTTCATTATAAATAAATAAATTTTAATATTAACGTACCGATTATTATGTTTGAACATACCACGAACTCAAATAATGTACCGATTATGTATACTTCTTATGTACCTAATCCTTTGAAAGTTGTGAATTGCGTATCTAAATTCGTACCATACTAAAATGAATTACGAACTGTGTGATTATGATTTCAAGTAAATGCGTTCGGAGTGAGGGGCATTTCCAAAAATTCCATGAATTTTGAAAGTAATACTAAGGGTGCAATAAGCAAATCTAGTCAAAAACATTAAAAACAGAAGTTTACCATTTTTAAAAGGCCCTCTTTGTTTGGGATTAAAACTGATCAGATCATTACGTTGAAACAAACAGAAAACAATAACCTACTTTGAGAAAGACAGTTTTAGAAATGAAACTCAGTTACCGCTTAAACAATTCTATACCTGATTATTGCATTGAAGCGACGCGAGTTGTTGTTTTTTTAATAGTTTTTTGCCACATCATGCAGAAAACATCAGAAGTAGATTTCAAGTAGAGAACATTAGGACTAGTGTCTATAGCACCCTTGAATTTGATTTTGTGACTGTTATTGAATTTTACATCTGTCCCAATTTATCCACACTGTTTATTTTATCACAATCTGTTTAATGACTGTATAATCAAACAATAATACGGGGTTTATTTAGTGTGGCCTCATAATTATAGATTAATGATTATTTAAAATGATTAAAAATTCAGAGAACTGTACAAAGATTATGGTGATGGTATACTTTGCTTTATATGAAAGATTGGGAGAAAAAGAGTAAATAATATAGTTACATAATCAAACTGTCAAAAATGATTATTCTTTGACATGGTGGAGCTCTAAATAAACATACATGAATACCTCATAAGAAAACACATATGTTTTTATCTATTTTAAAAAATTCTGGATTTGTATGAAGGTTGGACATGAAGATATGTATTCAAATATAGAATTAGGGACTAAAAAAAAAAGTTTACATGAATTAAAACAAAAAACGCACCAATTTATAAGGATGAAAATAATATTTAATCCAAAAATCTCGGATTGTGTTCATATCTTCATCCCAAAAATCCTGAATTTTTTCAAACCCAATATTATTCCTTGTTTTCCCTTTTCATAAAAGTAATTCCTCACAACAAAAATTATTTATATGAAGAAGCTTGCAAACAATTATTTATATGAAGAAGCTTGCAAACTCATCTCCCATCTTTAGAAACAACAACTAAATTAAATGAATAAAAGTAAAATTATCTACTGAATACGTAATCATGGGTGAAAGTTCAGAGGAAGAAGAACAATACATATTAGAGAAGTGGAAGGAGAAGAAGTACTTCAAATTGCAAATGCAAAAGCATATATATATATATATATATATATATATATATATATATATATATATATATATATATATATATATATATATATATATATATATATATATATATATATATATATATATATATATATATATATATATATATATATATATATATATATATATATATATATATATATATATATATATATATATATATATATATATACTGCAAAGTTACATATGAATAAATTGGTTAATCTAGTGGTTAAGAATGCGCTTAATAATATTAAGGTCATAAGTTCAACACATTTTGGGATCAAAATGTTGAAACTTTTTCTTTAAAGATTTAACACAAAAAAAATAAAATAAAAAAAAGCTGACGTAGCCTACCAAATCGTTAGTTTAATCACTGTTTTCTTAACAAAATTTTAATCTCAGTGATTAACGCCAACACAAAAGTGAGATATAAAGACTTAGACAAAAAAAAGAGAAGATACCGAGACCAAATTTAAAAACTCACTCTAATAAAAAAAATAATATTTTCACTCTTTTATTTATATACATTTTGTTGAGTTAAATTTTAAAATAAAATAAATAATATTTACTAAAAAAAAGTAGATATACTCGTTTGAAAGGATAATTTTTAATTTCACGAGTTTAGTAAGATATTTTAGAACTCTAATTTCAAAAAATGTTTGTGCTAGTCTTACAGTGTAGCTATCATTTGACAATCAATACTCTCAGAGAAACTCAAAGGCTCACATAGTTTGATAAACCCAAATTTCAATTGATCATTGAGAGAAAAGTGAGTTATCAAGATTTTTGAAGTTATTTAAGATGCCATCTAGGTGGTACATTGTCTTATCAAGCTAAACTTTTACTACTAGCGATACATAAAAACTAAATTCTAGTATGACAAATGTTAGAAGTAATTCATATTTAATATTAGCATTAATTTTTTTGTTAAGCTTAACTTAGCTAGTGTAGGTTAGCATTTTGCCTACGTGACATTATTATTTGTGCATATAAATTAGTGTAGTTGTCAATAGTTTGTAGTATGAGCAAGTAGTGCGTTAGAGCAACAAGTAGTGGTGTAACCATTCACTGTAACCGTTTTGCAAGAGTAGTGGAAGTTTGTTATTCTATTTCTTCTCTCTTCTTCCATCTTCATCTTCTTCATCCTGCGCATCAATAATTGGTATCTAGAGCTCCAGTTCAGATCCACATGGAAACACAGGTAAACACGAGTGAACAGTGAGGCGTTGCGTGCTTGATTTTGTTTTTTGAATTTGTGTTGAATTTTTGATCGAAATTGTAACAAAATCACATTTCTTGATTCTGCGAGATTGAGAAACACTTGTGTTTGGTGAGATCTGATTGAATTGCACAAGGTTGAAGATGAACGGAAACGGTAATAAGATAAGAGTACTAAGCTTCTAGTGTTCGATGGCAAGAACCAGAATTGGTGGATGATTCAGATGCATGTGTTATTTAACTCCAAGATGTTATTGATCTCGTCAATGACGGTTACGTTGCGTTTACACTTCCGATGAATGAAATAGATGTGGTGAGGAATGCTTAGCGTAATTTAAAAAAATCGCTGATTCGATGACGACGAAGGTTGCATGGGACACATTGGTACAGTGCTACAGAGGTGATGCATCAGTGAAAAATGTGAAGCTTCAATCTCTACATAAGTAGTATGTGAATCTCAACATGAAGAACAATGAGAATGTATCCGACTACATCTCCAGAGTGATTATGATCACAAATAAGATGAAGTCGTGTGAAGAAACTCTCTCTGATGAAAAAGATCATTGAAAAGGTACTTAGATATCTTACTCCTCAGTTTGATTACATTGGGGTAGCAATTGAACATTCTAAGGATCTTATCACCATGAGAAAGAGCTGTAAAGAAGTCTAGAGGCACAAGAGTTGCGTCTGACTGAGAGAAACTCTGAAAGAGAGGTAGAGCAATAGATCTAAAAGCAATTTCTAGCAAGAAATATTATAAGTAATATTGGTGAGAAACTAATCTAAGGATAAATCTCTATGAGATTATTAGAACAATAGTTTCCATATTGGTTAAAAGCTTTCTTATGTGAGCATTGCAGCTTCTTAGCATAAAGTTTTTCTTGTTAATCAACTATGTTGCTAACTTCACTCGTCAGTATCATTGCTTTGTAAAAAGTTGGCTTGCTTTGTAATGAGCTTCTTACTTTGTAATTGGATTTCTTGCTTACCAACAAGCTAACATTTGAATG